CATAATTAAAACTGCGGTCGCACTTGTGCGCGCAGTGATGAGCGGGCCCTCGCGTCCGTGCGCCTGTCAGGGAGGGCGGCCGGTCGTCCCGGCGTCAAGCAGACGCGCGCGAGTCCTCGGAAATGAGCCGTTTGTCATTTCTCTAATTTCGCGTCCCATACTCCCAGGTCCTCCGGCAGCAACCCGGAAACGGATGTCGACGTGCCGTCTGGAAGGAAAACTAATTTCTCTGAAGGCTCGTCAAGGATCGATTATCGAGGAGTGTCTCTGGAGGAGCTATAACCGAGGGTACACTGAAGTATTCTCCGGAGACGATTTCAGCCAACAGTGATGTTTAAAAGAGGCGTGACGCATGGCTGGATGTCAACGAAGCACAGCTCTGCAAACTGTTTCCGTTGTGATTATAAGTTATTCAAGATGATCAAATGTGCATCAGACTTTCTGCCCTTTACCGTTTGTTTACTCATTAATCACATCTCCCCTGGATGTTAGGTTATGCTTTCATTGTGAGGCGATGTTTACAGTGAGAACAGCTGCTGAGGTCAAACCTAACATCCAGGGGAGATGTGATTAATGAGTAAACAAACGGTAAAGGNGCGCATTTTTAGGCATTTTAAGCACATTCTTGCCGACTCTTCCTAGGGGAATGATCAAAAAAAATTCCAATCCAGGACAAGTTCAGCCCCTATCCAATATGATACTTAATTGCGGAGCACATTTTTGAAAAATCACTCGTGGAGGTCGTAAGCTAACAGCGAATACACCATTTTTGACGATTTACATGGCGCAAATTGCTCCAAACTGCTCGCATATAGTTTTTCCGATATTCACGAAACGCTGTATACACATTGCTATTATGATTGCGCACATATTTCAAATTGCTTTTCATTAGCCCCGCCCCCCAGAAAGCTGGCCATTTTGAAAAATGGGCGTTTTTCATGCATTTTAAGCACATTTGTGCTAATAAGTCATAGGGAAATGATCTGAATAATTACAATCTAGGGCAACTTAAGCGCATATCCAATGTGATGCTACATTGCGAAGGAATAGTCGATCGCTTGAACATGGAGCTCGTAAGCTAATGGAGAATGTACCATTTTTGACCATTTATGTCACAGACTACCTTAAGCTACTGAGACCTGTCTGCCTGCACACACACACACACACACACACACACACACACACACACACACACACACACACACACACACACACACACACACACACACACACACACCTAGTAAAACAAACACAAACGGCTCCTAAAGCACAACTAAATATCAGGCTACAGCCCTTGTATATTTTATTATGTGAAGCACTATATGGTTTCATGAAAAATATCTACTGTTTATTTGTAGATATCTCCTAAAGCCTACAAATAAAGTGTGAAATGTAGGCCT